GGCAGAAGAGACCTAGGGTAGACGAGTGTCAGGGACCAGTGGTGTCCTTTACTGAAGACGACCTAGAGATAGTGCAGTATCCACACAACGATGCCTTGGTAATGTCCCTCCAGATTGGAGAATGCCAAGTGAAGCGCATCTTAATTGACCAGGGCAGCTCTTGTGACATCATGTATGTCAGGTGTTACAAGGAGCTTGGCCTTCACCAGGATGATCTGGAACAATCCAATGGTCGGGTTCAATAGAACGCCGACGTGGCCCCATAGGGGCAGTAAGTTTGAAGGTGCAGCCTAGCACCAAGAAGGTAAAAACTGAGTTCACAGTAATTGACACTCCCTCCCCTTACAATGCTATCTTGGGAAGGCCATGGCTGCATGCAATAGGGGCTATTCCCTTAACGTTGCACCAGCTGTTGTGGTTCCCAACAGAGCATGAAATTGAGGAGGTCAGAGGGGATTAAGTGCAAGCAAAGAATTGCTTAATGGCAGAAATGAAATCCACCTGGAACATACGAGAAGCAGAAGTCGCAGAGATTGAAGATGAGGGCATGGAAGTCCTAGATGACGTCGGCAAAGAGCCACCCGAGAAGAGTGAAGAAGCGCTGAAGAAAGTCCTTGTCCAGTAAGGGGATAAGGAGCGCTTCTTCCTTCTCGGCTCGTACTTAGCTGAGGAAGAGGAAAAAGAGCTAGAAGCGTTCTTGAGAGCAAACATTGAGGTGCTTGCCTGGACGTCGTACGAGATGTCTGGCATTGACCCCGAGGTCACTTGCCATAGACTGAATGTGGATAGGTCGGCCAAACCTGTCATCCAGCAAGCAAGAAGGCCGACGTTGATGCATTTCGAGACAGTAGAAGAGGAAGTGGATAAACTTCTGGAGGCTAGGGCCATTCGAGAGGTGAACTACCCAACATGGCTATCAAACACGGTCGTCGTGAAGAAAAAGAATGGGAAGTGGAGGGTCTGTGTGGACTTCACTAGCCTGAACAAGGCTTGTCCCAAAGACAATTTCCCCCTCTCAAAAATTGACCAATTGATGGATGCCACCTCAAGACATGGAAGGATGAGCTTCCTGGATGTCTACAGGGGGTACCATCAGATTGCTATGTACCCCCCAGATGAGGAGAAGACTGCATTTGTCACCCTAAAAAGGCTGTATTGCTATAGAGTGATGCCTTTTGGGTTAAAAAATGTAGAAGCAACTTACCAGAGACTGGTGAACAAGATGTTCAGGCATCTAATAGGCAGAACAATGGAGGTATACATTGATGACATGGTCGTGAAGACCAAGGAACCTGAAGATCATCTGGTCGACCTGAAGATAGTCTTTGACATGCTAAGGACATTTCGGCTCCGATTCAATGCATCGAAGTGTGCATTTGGAGTTGGGTCAGGAAAATTCCTGGGATACTTGGTCACCAGAAAGGACATTTAAGCTAGCCCAGATCAGATCAAGGCCATTCTAGAGTTGGAGAGCCTAACGTCGGCAAAACAAGTGCAGATGCTGACTGGCAGGGTTGCAGCCCTAAACAGATTCATAAGCAGAAGTTCTGATAAATGCAAAACTTTCTTCAGTCTAGTGAAGAAAGCCACAGACTTCTTATGGACAGAAGAGTGCGAAGTCGCCTTGGCTGACTTGAAGAAGTATTTGACTACAGCTCCAGTTCTCTCAAATCCAATACCTGGAGAGGAGCTGTTCTTATACTTGACAATTTCAGAGCATGCAGTGAGTGCAGTAGTAATCAGAGAAGAAAATGGAGAGCAAAGGACAGTTTACTACATGAGTAAAACCCTAGCTGATGTAGAGACCAGATACCTACCCTTGGAGAAGCTAACACTGGCTTTAGTAATGGCTTCCAAAAAGCTGAATCATTACTTTCGAGGCCACAAAATTGTGGTGTTAACTAAGCATCCCTTGAAGTCCCTATTGTAGCAGGGAGATCTGACAGACAGAATAGCCAGATGGGCAGTGGTGTTGGGCCAATATGACCTGGAATTCAGACCTAGAACAGCAATCAAAGGCCAAGTTTTGGCCGACTTTGTGGTCGAGTTCACACCAGGTGCCATCATATATCGGGCTCCGTTGAGCCAAGGTATACGATGCCCAAGTGAACAAAGAGAAACCCAGTTGGGGATAGCAGAACAAAGGAAGGAAGAGAAACTCAGGCCATGCAGTATTTACATCGGCGACTCCTTCCAGCTGTTTGTTGATGGAAGTTCAAATCGACAATGAGCGGGGGCAGGGGTAGTGCTAGTATCGCCAGATAGGCAGATACTGGAACAATCCATTCGTTTGGGGTTTAAAGCCTCAAACAATGAAGTAGAGTATGAAGTACTAATCGTAGGATTAAAGCTGGCAGTAGCAATGGAAGTTGACGAGGTAATAGTCTTCTGTGACTCCCAGCTTATCGTCAACTAGGCAACAGGCGAATACGCAGCCCGAGATGAAAGGATGTCGGCCTATGTAAAGGAGGTAGGCAGACTGGCAGCCTAATTCTAGAATTGTCGACTACAGTAGGTTAGCCGAGATGATAACAGCCATGCTGATGCTCTGGCCAACCTGGCTAGTGCAATGAAACCTGGAGAGGCAAGGACGATAATGGTGGACTACTTGTCAGGTCCAAGCATAGAACAACTGAACACAGAGCATGAAGCAATGTGTGTAGAGATGAGACCAAGTTGGATGGATGTGATAATAGTATTCCTTAGAGATGGAAAACTGCCAGATGATCACAAAGAGGCATACAAGATTAGGCTGAAGTCAGCAAGGTTCAGTTTAACAGCAGAGGGACACCTCTACAGAAGATCTTTTACTGGACCCCTTTTGAGGTGTGTGCATCCTTTACAAGTTGAAGACTTTCTGTGTGAAATACATGAAGGAGTATATGAAAGCCACACTGGGGGTAGGTCACTTGCTCATAGGGCCATTACTCAGGGGTACTGGTGGCCCTACATGCAGAAATATACTGAAGCTTATGTCAAGAAGTGTGAGAAGTGCCAGAGGTTTGCACCTTTGATACATCAACCAGCAGCGGACTTGAACCTAGTGTCCAACCCTTGGCCATTTGCCTAATGGGGTTAGACAACTGCCTCAAGCAACTTGACAAAAGAAGTTCCTGTTAGTGGCAACAAATTACTTCACCAAGTGGATAGAAGCTGAACCCCTTGCAAAAATTCAGGACGTATGTGAAGAACTGTATATGGAAGAACATCATCACTAGGTTTGGGATCCCAAGGGTAATAATAGCAGACAATACTACACAGTTTGACAGTAAGCTAATCAAGAGCTTCTGTGCAAAGTACAAAATCAAGAATTATTACTCTACTCCAAGCTTTCCTCAGAGTAATGGTCAAGCAGAAGCCTCCAATAAGGTTATCTTGGATGGAATCAAGAAAGTGGGTGGAAGAGTTGCCCAATGTACTTTGGGCATGTCGGATTACGCCGAGAAGATCAACTGGGGAGTCTCCATTTGCCATGGCTTATGGCACAGAAGCAGTATTCCACTAAAGGTCGGCATCCCAGGGATCAGAACCCAGGGAGTAGAAAATGGGACCAATGAGGCATTCTTGGCCCGAGATTTGGATCTACTAGAAGAAAGAAGGGAGAAAGCAGCAATTCAATTGGGGGCATACCAACAGCAACTTGCCAGGGCTTATAATAAGAAGGTTAACCCACGAGAGTTCCAAGTTGAGGACTTCGTCCTAAGAAAGGTCGTCGGTAACAAGAAGGATCCCAAAGAGGGCAAGCTTGGCCTAAATTGGGAGGGACCTTATAGAGTCATCTTGGTCTTGGGCAATGGTACATATCGGCTTAAAGATAGTGAAGGCAAAGAGTTGCCAAGACCTTGAAATACTTGCAACCTGAAGTTTTTCTATCATTAGATTTTTTGTTTTTTAAAGTTTTCTGTTATTAGCCGAAGTAATAATAAAATTTTAGCTCGATTTTTTTGATTTCAAACTTGTGTAACACGGTTGAACAGTCCCTTGGCGGTGTTTCTGATTGAAACATGACGAATAACTTAGACTTATTATATGGCAGAGTTGAATTACACTTGCATATAATAGAGTTGAACTAAGTTGAATTAACCTAGATTTGTTGTATCGACAGAATGAAAACTTTTGAATAAACACCAAGTACGTTAACAAGAGAGACCGAGGTTGATAACCTCGACCAGTCTCTATTTAAATTTGATCTCAGTGACAAGATCATAGGTCTATACTTAATGTGAACATAAGTGAAACTTAAGTTCACATTAGAGGGCAGAGAGTTGGAGAATAATGCTTAGAAGTTGGAATTTACAAGCTAAAGTTGGTTTAACACTTGTTGGAATTTTAAGAAAAATTTACAACTTGAAGTTAGCCGAGGTCATGTTGAAAGAAAATTGGTTTAACCCTTGTTGAAATTTTAAGAACAATTTACAAGTTGAAGTTAAGCCAAAGTTATTTTTAAAGAAGTATCTGCACATTTGCCGAGATTACCATACTAACAAAGACTTGGAAAATATTTGAAGATAGAAGTCTTACTAAGTAAAAATAAAGTGGCAGGTTTTATATAGCACCTGTGAAAATATTTTTTACAATGTTTTCAAGTGTTAAGCCAAGGCCGATATAAGCAAGATTGGAAGTTTTGTCTGAGGTATGTTAATCCGAGGAGACTATACAAGAAAGGCATAAACTGAAGACATGCAAAATATTCTAAGTATGGAAGCAGTAAAGCATACAAACATACAATCACATTGAAAGAAGAAATTAGATAATGCATTCAGATAAGGAAAGAAGACACTTCGGCTTGACATTGAAGAGTAATTGTTCAGATTACTAAAAGGCACATCGGCCAAGTAAAGAACTAAACATTGTTCAAAAAGAAAAAAAAGTACTAAATACAGAGGAAAAGCTTCAAGATTAGACTATTCGGCTTCATTAGTTGGAGCAGTTTGGGGCTCGGAAGTCATCTGAGAACTCTTTTCGACAGCCTTCTCAGCCGCGAGCTCGACATCGATCTCTTAGAGAGTCTGGTCGATGCTCTTCTCGGCGATAGGTGCGTCAGATGTTGTCTTCTCAAGGGTGGCATTTTTTGAGACCTTGGCCCTAGCATCCACAGCATTCTCGGACTTTTCGGCCTCAGCTTCCTCCTCAGACTCAACCTCGTCCTCGGATTGGCTTGGAGTGGGTGGAAATGGCTGGACGAGGTTGCTAGCATTCTTGAGAGGAAAGTCCTCGAAGACAGCCAACTCCGTCAGAGCATCCATCCAACCAAGGGTGAAACCCTTGTTGCATGCCGGCTTCACTTGTTTCTTGTAGTCTTCTTTGACGTCGGCTGTTCCCTCGGCATATGCCTTCTCATCCGCCGCTTTGATCTCGGCGTCTTTTGTGGCCAAGGCAGCAATGAGCTTAGCCTGGGCTTCGGCGATCTTTGCTTCGGCCTCTTTTTTCTCGGCCTCAAGGACCTTGGCAATGGCCTCAGCAGCTCCCGCCCTCTCCTCGGCCTCGTCTTGCTGCCTTGTCTGATCCATCAGAGTCTTCATCTTGGCCTCAACTCTATTGACTATCTTCAGCAAACTAGTAGCCTCCTTGGTCTTGTTGACCAACTCCTTCTTGATATTAAAAGCCTGCATCGTGAAGGAGTGGGCATGCTGGATCGCCTAGAAGAAATATGAGGAAAAACAAGAGTTAGTTAAAAAACTCTAAGTATGGAAAAATAGAGAATGAAAAGTACTAAGTGTTAGGGGCTTACTTATACGAAGTGCTGCAACATCAAAGCGAAGTTTTCATATTCGCTGACCTCGGTGTTGCGTTTGAGGTCTTTTGGAAGGAGCAAGGCAGTGGAGAGGGCGATGCCGACTTCAAGGTCAGTCGTGCTATCGCCGACCCCGACTGGCTTGTCCTCAATAGTGATTGGAGGGGCCCAGGGGGCATTAGATTTCATGGACCCCGAGGTCGTGGCTGACTCTGACCTTGGCTTCTTTGACCGGGTGGATTCAGAGGGAGCAGCTTTTGCGGGCCTCTTTTCGGCGGCAGAGGCACTTTTTTCTGCCTCGGCCATCTTGGATGTTGGCAAGGTATCTTCAGAATCAATCTGAGTTACCGTTGCCTTAGCTTGGGCTTTCTTCAGTCTTTTTTGCTTTGGTTTTGGCTGGGATTGCGATGATGAAGATTGTAAGGTGATGATGTTGGGGATGTCGGCTAGAAGGTCGTCTACTACAGCCTTCTTAAAACCCATCTCGATGGCGGCTACAGTTCGACGTCGGCGTTTGCATTGAGAAGGTGGGATTAGTTGTGGAGCCGAGGTTGATGGCTGTTCTGCTGGATCAGAGGTTGATCCCTGATCTGGCTGAAGTGATGAAGTTGTAGCAGGAGTTGTTACTGAAGGAGGAGACTTGCTTTTTCTCGGGTTGTCGGGTAGTACCGACTTGTAAGTTGGGATGTAGTTGAGCAGCAAAGGCGCTTTCCGCTGCTCAACTGGCAGACCCAACAGCCTCTTGAAATCCTTGCTAGGATAGAAGTTTTTGCAGAAGTCCTTTGGAGGCTGAGGAAGAACTGCAAAATAAAACATACAGGCGTTAGAACATATAAAAATATTAAAGTAAAAAAGACTTGAGGAGCAAGCAAAAGTAAACACTTGGATCTTACTATCTCCCTCTTTGAACAATGTGTGGTTTAGAGGGTAGAGGTGAAGGTCATCATCTGGAAGGAACTCCCAGTTGCCCGAGACGTTGAAATAATCATCCCCGGCGCCCTTATTGGAATCAGGGAAGTCGGCGATGATTTTGTATTCTGTCGACCTCGGCTTAAGGTAGTAAATGTAGCCTTTTTCTGACTTAAGGCCACACATGGTGTTGCAGTACTGAATATCGGCTAAAGTTACCCTAGCATTTTCTTGGCTAGCTAAGGCGATGATACCATTGATGACTCTGTAAGAGTTAATGACTAATTGCATTGGGTTGAGTTTATAATAGTGAAGGACTTCTTGGAAAATGATGTTAAGAGGGAGCCTAAGTCCACACTCTATGAAGGCTACGATTGGAAAGGGCATGGAGTCGTCTTTCGGCATAGTGGAGTCCTCCTCTCCAGCCAACCTGAGGTGAACGTCTGCAGGGATGGCAAACTCCTACTTAAAGTATGCTAACTTAGTTGGGGTGTCTATCTTCCATCTCCACATACCCATGACGTCGGCTTAAGGAGAAAGTGTTGGATTGCAAAAGGAAGTGGTTTGTTAGGGTTTAAAGGACCATGGCAAAACCTAAACGAATGCTGGGGCAAGGGTTTTTGAGGATCTAAAGGGAATTTGTTTCAATTTTTCCTAAAGTTTGTAAGTTCTAGAACAAGTCCCAAACTTAAAGCTATGGAAACAAGGATTGAAGGCAAGAATCTGGAGAACACAACAAGAAAACAGAGACAAGAATATGATTCAGAATCAAGAATAGTGATGAACTATCAAGAACACTGTGACAAAGTATGCACGAGGGTGCGAGGCCAAAAATAGTGGCAAAATAAACAAATGTGTGAGTACGTGTGTATATCTAGAAACAGATGAAACAAAACATGTTTAAGCATACGAAGGGTGAATTTTGAAACACAGATAGAAACAGGAGCATATGAATGTATTCATCATGGCAAATAAGCAAAGGCAAGAGAGTATGAAACTAAAGAGGGGGAAAATAGTAGCTCACCGAAGAAAATGAAGCCGGTGTAAAATTCACCGGGATCAAATGACGGCAGCAATCGGATAAGAGCAGCAAAAACTTCGTCGGAGGAGGTGAACGGAGTGGTTGCAGAGCTTGAAACAAATGGAGGATTTGGGAGTAGAGATAGAAAACTTACATGAAAACGGTGGTGAAAAAGTGAAAAGACGGAGAGAGAGAGAGAGAGAGAGAGAGAGAGAGAGAGAGAGAGAGAGAGAGATGATTTTGATGAAACACACAGAATGGCGACAAAATGGCAATTTGTGTGTCTAGGACGACGTGCTTGTCAGACGGCGCACGCAAATGAGATGCGACTTAATGGCGCGGGTCAGGTACGGCTCAGTAAGTGAAAGACGCGTGGCAAAAATGGTTGAAATACTGTGCGTGACAGCTCATACACGTGTTGAAACTCTTGGGGTTCTTGATTTAATGGAGCATGACCTCGGCTAGGGGGACGGTCTCGGCTGAGAAACTTGAACAAACTTGGTTATTGGTTCTAAAGCATTGATGAAAACAGACTAAGTCTTGGTCATATTGAGCCGACGAATGATGACCTCGGTAATGAAGGACAAAGCGAGCTTAGCTGACGTGCTAAATGGAAGAAACAATATAGGTTCCATCACCTCAAGATGCTGAGGTAATAGAACTTAGGGGGCAGTTGTAGGGACATAATTTTTGAATGACAACACGTGGCCGAGGTGGCATCGAATTGCAAGCCGAGGTATCACGTGTCCTGGTCATGATGCCGAGATAATCTCGGTTAGGCCGAGGTTATCTGTGAAGATACCGGAATCCGAGATAGGTAGATAAGGGACAAGAGTCTTAGATTGGGAGAGGACTTCAGTTTGGATAAAGATAAGACTCCTAGAGAGTTTATCCCAATCTAACTGGGAGTCTAGGATTAGCATTGAGGCAAAGTCCATTGAAACTAGGCTTCTATTGGGATTATGTCAGTATTGGCTATAAAAGAGAGGCACCCTCGTGGGTTTAAGGTACGCTTTTTGTATTTTGAATAGTGAGTTAAGCACTTTTGCTATCTTTGAGAGATAACTGACTTGATCGTCGGAGCGCCCCTGGGTGGACGAACCACTGCCAGAATCTTATCTTTCTGTGACAAGTCGTTTGGGCTTAATCTATTCTACCAGTGCTCTCCAGCTGAGTACCTGTTTGGCAGTATAGTCAGAAATTGACACACAGTATGCAATACAACAAATTAAAATTAGGTAGTTATTTCTTTCCCGCAATTATTGAGAAAAATTATTAGATAGCTCTGTTTTATATTTTTGCGTGATATGACTTTTTAATTCTATTAGTTATATACTTATTTTTTTTTTAATTTTATATATCTTACATAAAGTAACTACTATTATTTTTTTATGTATTACATAAAATAACCACTATTATTTTGTGGGCACACAATCTAACTAAAATTTTTGCAAGAGAGAATAATTCGTCCATTATTGGACTCTACAATTTGCATCATTTTTAGGTTGTCTGACTATCAAATTCAAGTTACCATAATTAGGGGTTGTGTCATAATTAAATAATTTTCAATTATATTAAAAATAATTATAATGAATCATGACTTTTTTTTTTAAAAAAACTTTTTATGAAAAGATATACAAAAAAGTAGAGAGAGTGATGTGACAACTTATAGTGATTTTTTGACAAAAATGTATAGTTGACAAACAAGACCTAAGTTGAAAATAAAACAGACAAACATAGTTCAAGAGGAAACTAGTTCCCCTCACAAGAGATGTTCTGTCATGACCCAAACCCAATACCTAAAAGTTCAGTATTGTGACGAAACAGTAACAGAGGTCATAACAAAATATAGTGCAGAGGAATAAAATAAAAGGGTACTCAAATCTTAATTTAATTATAATAAAAATATATACATTGGAGTTTCTATTCATTCACATTGCCATAATTGAACTACAATTCTAAAGTGCCTTGTGAAACCTCACGCACTGGTCCTGACACGTCACTTGAAAGTGGTTAACAACTATAAGCACACTACAAACACTACTACAAAAATAGTTAAAGATCACACTTTGACAAAAAAAAATCTCACTTTTATTGAAAGTGTGATAAAAAAAATTAGATTGATATTTTAATCACACTTAATTTGATTGAGTGTGATAATATTTATTTTTTATGTCACTTTTCAATTAAGTGTGATTATATATACATTTTTTTAATCACACCTTCTAATTAAAGTGTGATTAATATATACACAATTA